GAAGTCTTGTGAAGTCTTGTGAAGTTTCGTGAAGTTTTGTGAAGTCTTGCGAAGTTTTATGAAGTCTTGTGAAGTCTTATGAAGTCTTATGAAATCTTATAAAGTCTCAAGAAGTCCTACAAAGTCTCTGAAGTCTCATGAAGTCCGTGAAGTCTCACGAAGTCTGTGAAGTCTAACGAAGTCTTTGGAAGTCTTTTGAAGTCCCATGAAGTCATACGAAGTCTTATGAAGTCTTGCGAAGTCATTTGAAATCCTATGAAGTCTTCAGAAGTCTTTAGAAGTCTTTTGAAGTCTTGTGAAAATATGAAGTCACTGCGGCTGAAGTCTGTTGAAGTCTTGAAGTCCGCTGTTTCCCCCTTGATTCTATCCATAATTGGCAAATAGCCCCCCCCCCCCGCCCCCCGATTAGGTCTGATTATCTCTCATAATATTTTGCCAGTCTTACGAAATTAGAGTTTCTACAGCTGCCGTGGTCAGATTTCTTTGCCAAGAGTGCAACTAAATGTGCTCTTTCTAATGGCAATATTTTCCACACGAAAATTCATATCTAGTAAAGCACTTTTGCTCAAAACCCTATCCTGGAGACCTTGTTCGCCCCATTTTTGACTAATATTCTTTGATTTTAGAATAGAAAAAGTCCCATTTGACTCCATAAATGTGTAATATCTGAATTTAACACACAAACCTGAGTAGACCTATGTGGGCAGAGATGCTGACTGGGTTGGGTTGATATGGGTACCTTTCGGATTAGGGCTTCTATTGGTTAGCCTTAACCCGAGCCGGTGGTTTGATCAGGCCATTTACATCCACGAACAAAAGTAGATAGCCCCTAAAGTAATATTATATTCCATCATTTCCAGCTGATCTTTTTGGGGCAATGTCGGCGTCATTGAACCCTGATCGCAAACATCACCACGTCCTCAATTGTTTGACGTTTGCTGAAGATATCACTTGTACATTGTCATCGCTTTACGAAGATCACATCTCGATCATTTTTTGACATTCAATTTCGCGCAATCCGTCATTCAAAAGCTCAGAGTGGCAGCTATCATTAGTAAAATTTCGGTGAACAATAGCGGAGATCTGAAGTTTGCACTGAAAACTTCTACCAAGTAGAAAATCATTGTTTTCAGTTTGGAATCGAAAATTTGAGCTAAAATCTATCGATAGAGCGAAAAATTGTAGCAATGACGCACCATCAACCAACAGGTTTGTGGTAAAATATTCTGAGCCGTAGCTCTATGCAGAGCTGAGATAGAGCAATTGATAGAGGTTACCATGCTGCAGTTTGTCTATTAATGGAGTAAGGGTATTATACAGTGAGCTTTGGACCTAAGCAACTACGTATGCAGGAGGACAACTAGCACCAAAGAAAATGAAAAATTCATTTTAGGAGAACGAAACTATGAACTAAAAGTTTTTAAGATGATATTTTTCTTCAATTTCTTCAACCCTCTTGGTAGTGTAGCTATGCACCACACACTTCCATGTTGCGAAGCATTTCACCTCAAAACCATTTTGCTGACTACACAGTTTTTGCTTCATAGAATCAGAATTTTCTACACACCCACTGTATTATTCTGACCAAAAAAGAGTATTTCCTTAAAGATGAGGGTAAATTCACTAGTATTTGACAGTTCTACTCGCTTATAGGCAGTGCCAACAGTTTATTCAAGATATGGAGGGAAAATATCATCTGAAAAGCTTTTAGTCCGCAATGTTTCGCCATCTTAAAATGAATTATTGACTTTCTTGGTGCTAGTCATCCTCCTGCATACGTAGGTGCTTAGTCCCAAACCTCACCGTATAATACCCCAGTTTCATTGATAGGCAAACTGAAGCATGGTAACCTCTTTCAATTGCTCTATCTCAGCTCTCCATGGAGCTACAGGTTTGAATATTTTATCACAAACTTGCGGGTCGATGATGAGTCATTGCTACAATTTTTCACTCTATCGATAGAGTTTAGCTCAAATTATCGATTCCAAACTGAAAACAAGGATTTTCTACTTGGTAGAAGTTTTCAGTGTGAAATTCAGATCTCCGCTATTGCCCACCAAAATTTTCCTAATGATAGCTGCCCCTCTGAGCTTTTGAATGACGGTTGCGCGAAAGTGAATGTCAAAAAAATGATCGAGATGTGATCTTCGTAAAGCGATGGCAATGTACAAGTGATATCTTCAGAAAAGTCAACCAATTGAGGACGTGGTGATGTTTGCGATCAGCGTTCAACGACACCGATATTCCCCCGAAAGATCAGTTGGAAATGATGGAATATAATATCACTTTAGGGGGTACCTACTGTTGTCTGCAACCGTATACAATTCCACCTCCGATTTACCCATAAAAAGTTTCAGGTAGGTTTTGTAAGTTAACCCAATAGTCAACATTGGGCTAACTCATTAAATAAGTTGAGTTGTGATAAAGTAGAAAATAACATTATGAAAAATATTCAGGGTTTAATGCTAACTCTCAATGTAATAAAATTAGGTTCAAATTTTTCCGGGTCTTCGATCCGTAATTCGACGCAAATTTTGACGTATTACTTAGGGGTACCCAAAAGTAGTGGCGGTCGCATCTCAATTTCGTATAGAAGGCTTGATGGAATTTTCTGTTTTTATGAGGTGATAGAGAAAACGAAGCTCTATTTTTCTGTACTATTTCATCCCTATTCAGCTGGTATCATAATAATGAAATTTCGATAAAAACNTAGCAAATACCGCCCCGATAAGGTCTGATTATCTCTCACAATATTTTGTCAACGTTACAAAATCAGAGTTTCTACAGGTGTCGTGGTAAGATTTCTTTACCAAGAGTGCAACTAAATGTGCTCTTTCTAGTGACAATGTTTTCCACGTGAAAATTCATATCTAGTAAAGTACTTTTGCTCACAATCCTATTTTTGAGATTTTCTTTGCCCCCCTCCCTTTTTGACTAATATTTTATGGTTTTCGAATAGAAAAGTCCCATTTGATTCCACAAAAGTGTCATATCTGAATTTAAGACAGAAAACTGAGTAGGTCTATGTGGACAGAGATGCTCACAGGGTTGAGTTGATATGAGTACCTTTTGGTTTAGGGCTTCCATTGGTTAGCCCTAATCCAGACCGGTGGCTTGATGAGACCATCTACAATGGCAGACAAAAGTAGCCCCCCCCCCCACCCAAAGTGATATTATATTCCATGATTTCGAACTGATCTTTTGTGGGAATGTCGGCCTCATTGAACCCTGATCGTAAACACCATCATGCCCTCAATAGATTGACGTTTACTGAAGATATCACTTGTACATCGTCATCACCTTATCAAGATCATATCTCGATCATTTTTCGACATTCACTTTCTCGCAACCCGTCATTCAAAAGCTCAGGAATGCAGATATCATTAGTAAAATTTTGGTGGGGAATAGCGGAGATCCGAAGTTCGCACTGGAAACTTCTACCAAGTAGAAAATCCTTTTTTTCAGTTTGGAATCGATAATTTGAGCTAGAATTGATCAATGCAACTTAAATTTCAGCAATGACTCATCATCGACCCACAACTTTGTGATAAAATATTCAGGGCCGTAGCTCTATGCAGAGCTGAGACAGAGCTATTGAAAGAGTTTACCATGCCACAGCTTGTCTATCAATGGAGCTACGGTATTATGCGGTGAGCTTTGAACCGAAGCAACTAGGTATACAGGGGGACAACTAGCACCAAAAAAACTCAAAAATTCATTTTAGGATGACGAAACTGTGAACTCAAAGTTTTTAAGAAGGTATTTCTCTTTAATTTCTTCAATCTCCTCCCACTGGTAGCGTATCTAGGCACGATATACTTTTCTGTTACGAAGCATTTCACCTCAAAACCATTTTGCTGACTTCACAGAATTTCTGCTTCATGGAATCAGCCTTTTGTACACACCCTGTGGATTATTATGACCAAAAAAGAGTATTTCCGGAAAGATGAGCATAAATTCACCAGTATTTGACAGTTTTACTAGCTTAACGGTAGTGCCAACGGTTTATTGAAGACATGGAGCGAAAATATCATCTCAGAAGCTTTTAATTCGCAGTTTCGTCATCCTAAAATGAATTTTTGCTTTTTTTGGTGCTAGTTGTCGCCTTGTTTATATAGTTGCTTGGGTTCTCAAAGATCACCACACAAAACCGTAGCTCCATTTGTAGGCAAAGTGTGGTGTGGTGAATTCTTCTAATGACTATATCTCAGCTCCACATAGATCTACGACTCTGAATATTTTACCACAAATCTGTGGATTAGTGATGAGTCATTGCTACAATGTTCCGCTACATTGATCGATTTTAGTTCAAACTATCGATTTCAAACTGAAAAAAAGGATTCTCTACTTGGTAGAAGTTTTCAGTGCGAACTTCGGATCTCCGCTATTTCCCACCAGAATTTTACTAATGATATCTGCATCCCTGAGCTTTTGAATGACGGATTGCGAAAAAGTGAATGTCGAAAAATGATCGAGATGTGACCTTCGTAAGGTGATGACGATGTACAAGTGATATCTTCTGCAAACGTCAATCAATTGAGGGCGTGGTGGTGTTTGCGGTCAGGATGCAATGAGGCCGACATTCCCGCAAAAGATCAGTTCGAAATCATGGAATATAATATCACTTTAGGGGAGTACCTACTTTTATCCGCAACTGTATATAATTCCATCTCCGACCTATCCATAAAAAGTTTCAGTTAAATTTTGTGGGCTAACCCAATAGACAACCTTGGGCTAATTCATTAAATAATGCATATTTCATAAAAATTAGTTACAAAAATGTTTTCTAATGGATGTGCCGTTAGGAAAAGAATTTTTGATCAAGTCAAGTCCATTTTGATCTCGATGAAATAAATCTGGTCGTATTTGAGTAAAATTTTGTACAAAAGCTGGTTTTTAATGGTGCGAGGGAATGCTGTCAATCTTTCCTATTATCTGAGTACTTTTGAAAAGAAATGAGATATTTGTAATCAGTACACTTGGTACTATTGAATTTTAAAGATCTGTGATAGAGCAGCGGGAAAAATATTTTTTCGATACCTGAAGAGAACCCATGTGTGAAAAGTTGGGTTGTGATAAAGTAGAAAATAAAATTATGAAAAATATTCAGTGTTCAATGCTAACTCTTAATGGAATAAAATTATGTTTAAAGTTTTTCGGAGCTTTCGATCCGTAATTCGATACAACTTTTGATGTATTAAAATGTGATTAATGTCTGATCATAAACTAATAAAGCAATAAGCATCAACTATATACTTTATCTTATTTTATTACATCTTACTTGTCCGGTAATGTTAGAGGTACTTCACTTTACTTTACTTTATTTTTCGGATAAAGTAGATCTATTTTACCGAGCAAGTAAGATATAATAAAATAAGGCAAAGTAAAGTAGGTAGTTGATGGTTATTGTTTTATTAGTTTGTTATCAGACATTAATCACATTCTAATATGTCAATAACCATCAACTACATACTGTACTTTATCTTATTTTATTATATTTTACTTGTTCGGTAAAGTAAGAGATACTTCACTTTACTTTACTTTATTTTACTTTACTTTTCGGATAAAGTAGATCTCCTTTACTTTACCGAGTAAAGGAAAGTACACTAACTTTACTTTATTGAGTAAAGTAAAGTAAATTACTTTACTTTACTCAATAAAGT